ATTGGTTATATTATGTAAAACGTGTATAAAATTTTTTTTTTATTATATATATTATTATTATATTATATTATTATTATATATATTTTTTGCTATTATATATTATTATTTATCTATGTTAAATATATAATTTTCTATAATAGTAATATATTCTAAACAAATTGAATTTACTTTTATTTATTAATTTAGATGAAAAAATGGTGAGACATAATAATCGTTTACCAGAGAATCTTCCACAATTACAAAATCTTATTAAACGAGATCCTGAATCTTATAAGGAAGAAGTAAGTTTTTCAAATTAAAATATTATTTAATAAAATTCAATATAATTTTTTATAATTTTTCAGTTTCTTCAACAGTATCAACATTATAAATCCACTTTGGAAGTTTTTTGTTTAATACCAAATAAGTTTAATAAAAATCTTGATGAATCAGTCATTTTTCTAGCACAGGTAACATTTCAAAAATTAATATAAAATAATTCATATAAATCTAAAAAATTAAATATGATTTTATTATTTTTTATGATTATATGAGATTCTTAAATATTAGAAAATATTTTTTTTTACAGGTATAATTAACAAAATATATGAAAATATATTTTTAGTAACATTGTATTATTTATTATTAAGAAATTTTTAAAAATAATTATGGAAAAATATTTGGAATATGTAGATGGAAAAATCATATGTCGCAAGAAAGTAATAATGCAATTATATTCATTAATTGGTTATTCTGATGAACCAATGCCTTATAGTATATTTATTTATGGTCATGTAGCTACTGGAAAATCTTTAATAGTGCAAGATATGCTTTCTTATTTAAAATATAATGTGGCTATTATTAATTGTATAGAACATGTGAACAATAGATACATATTTGACTATATTTTAAGTGATTTATCATTGAATTTTAATAATTCATCAACTAATAAACAAACATATCATAAATGTGATAATTTTTTGGATTTTATAATAAATCTCAAAGAGATTTTTATAAAAGATACTCGTCCAATTATAATAGTACTTGATAAATGTGATAAATTACGAGATAATGATATCAATTTATTATCTGCATTTTCAAAACTCAAAGAATTATCAAATATCAATGTTTGTGTAATATTTATAAGTGATATAGTGTGGGAAAAATTTTGTGTCAAAATAAGTATTTATGAACCTATTAAAATTTATTTTTCACAATATACACGAAACGAATTTATCGAAATTTTATTTTCAAATAAATCATATGATCATGATAGTATATTTTATAAAAATTATTTAAAACTATTTCTCTCTGTATATTTTCTATTCTGTCGAGATATTAATGAACTGCGTTACATGGCCAAAATAAATTTTTCTAAATATGTAAAACCTATTGAAATTGATCAGACTAAAAGAAATGATACTGTTTTTTTATGGAGAAATATTTCTGCTACTTTTAAAGCTAATCTAGAGTTCATTTATTTACGAGTTTCTGAAAAATTTATAAAATCTGATCAATTATCTAAAGATATTGAATCAACAATGAGATTAGCATTAAGTTTTGAGTTACCATATTATGCAAAATATATATTAATTGCATCATATCTTGCTTCATATAATCCTGCAACACAAGATAAATATCTGTTCCTGAAACAAAAATTTAAGAAAAAAAGAAAAATTACTAATAAAAAAAAAATAATGTTAAATACTTTTTGTGGACCTTACAATTTTCCAATATCTAGGATGATTGCTATTTTTTGTGCCATTCTTATTGAAAAAGTTGATATAAATGCTAATTTACTCTCACAGATTCCATCTATGTGTCAACTTGGTTTGCTATCAATTGTTGGAAATTATAATTTGAATGAACCTAAACTCAAGTGTTGTGTATCATATGATTTCATTCTTGTCATATCTAAAACTGTTGGATTTAATATACAAAACTATTTGTACAATTTTATATGAATTGAAAATGTATTGACTTAAATTTTTTTGATTATATAAATTTATTTATTTTAATTTTATGTATTGATTAATTTAAAAAAAAAATAAAACATTAAAATTTATGAAATATATTTTTTTTTTAATAGATAATATGTAACAAAATACATATAAATGAATTTAATATACTGCATATATAAATTTATTTTATTTAATTATAGAATTTTATCATTTCTAAGCATTATATTATTTTATTGTATTAATACAGGTGGCTCATTGTTATCCATATATGTTAGAATCATTTCCTCAAGAAATTATTGATGTACTCAAAACATATAATATGATACTTGATAATGATATGCGACTTGTAAGTATAAAATAATATAAATATAAAACTAATAGTCAATAAAGACTAAACTGACTTTCTTTTTTACAATTAAAGTAAATTTTTTCTGTAGACATTTTGTAAAGTTTTAATACAACTACGTAATAAATCTCTCTTAGAACCCACTGCACTTTTGAGTTTGTTTTTTGAACTTTTAAGATGCCAAGATAAAAATTTACGGCAATTTCTTGAAACACATATTATTACTGATATTAAAAATGTGAATTCTAAACAAAAAAATGCAAAAATTAATACAACTTTACAAAATTTTATGTTTTCAATGTTGAAAGATTCTAATGTAAAGGCTGCAAAAATGTCTGCAGATATCATGATAAAATTGTATAATAAAAATATTTGGAATGATGCGAAAACGGTAAATGTCCTAGCAACAGGTTGTTTTGTTAAAGCAACCAAAGTTATGGTTGCTTGTTTAAAATTCTTTCTGGGAACAGATTCAGAAAAACAGATAAGTGAAGAAACTGACAGCGATAATGAATCAAATATTAAGGAAATTATGATAGCTAATAGAGTAAATAAAAAAACAAAAAAACGAAATAAAGAATTAGCTAGAGCGAAACGATTGTTAATGGTAAGTCAATTAATAAATCATATATTATAGATAATTATTATAGATCATTATAGATAATATTGCAATTTGTTAATAATGAATGTTTTGAATTTTCAATATTTTAGAAATCTAAAAAAAAAGAGATGAAAGCACCGAGATTTAATTTTTCGGCATTACATTTAATTCATGATCCACAGGATTTTATAGAAAAATTATTTAAACAATTGGAAAAAAATAATGATAAATTTGAAATTAAATTAATAACATTGGATGTAATTTCAAGACTTATTGGTTTGCATAATTTATTTCTATTAAATTTTTATCCTTATTTACAAAGATTTTTACAACCACATCAAAGAGGTAATTTTTTTATTATTAAAAATTGTGTTAACTTTTTAAATTTTGTGTTTCTCTTTCTAAAACTTTCTAAAACTTTCTAAAACTTTCTGCTAAATTTGAATAACAATGAATATATAAATAAATATGAAATATAATTGTTTATCTTTTTCTTTTAGAAGTAACAAAACTTTTACAATTTATCGCTCAAGCATCTCATGAACTTATACCACCTGATATATTAGAACCAATTTTGAAAACATTAGCAAACAATTTTGTTACAGAACATAATTCAGCAGATGTCATGGCCATTGGGTATGTATATTATGTGTATATATACATATATATATATGTATATATTTAGTAAAAATATATACATATATATTTTGTAAATGTATATATATATATACACATTTAGTTTAACGTTTTTGAAATATATTATTTCAATTAAATTGTTTTAACATTATTTATAGATTAAATGCTATTAGAGAAATATGTATACGATGTCCTTTAGTGATGAATGCAGATTTACTACAAGATTTAGCGCGATACAAATATTACAAGGAACGAAGTGTAATGATGGCTGCACGTTCTTTAATTGCTGTATTTAGAAATTCAATACCTGAATTATTGCATAAAAAAGATAGAGGACGTCCTATAGAAGCAATTATTACTTTAAATGTTCCAAAATATGGTCAAATATGTACTAATAATTTTATACCAGGAGCTGAAGTTTTACTTGACAATGAGTTTGACAAAGTTAAAGAAATTTCAATAAATAAAATTAAAGACAATGTAATATTGAAAATAAAAACTATTATTAATTAATTAATTAATTATATAATAATTTAATTAATTAATTAATTATATAATGATTTAATTAATTAATTAATAATAATAGGACAGAAATCTTATTGAAAAAATTATGTTTTACAGATTAGAGAGGATGATTGGATAGATGTAAGTTATGATGAAAATTATAATGATGATGATAGTAACAATGATAATGATAATGATAGTGATAATGATAATGATAATGATTATGATTATGATGATGATAATGATTATTATAATGATAACAACAGTGATATCGATAATGATAATGATAATAATCATGATGTTTTTTACGATAATAATGAATATGGTAATAATGATAATAATGAAAAAAAAGAAAAGAAGTTGGAAGAAAAGGAAAAAAAAAAGAAGTTAAACTTATTTGTAAACAAAAATGATAATGAAATTTTAGATGTTTATAACATTAAATCTAATATGAAAAATACAAGTAATATAAATAATAAAAATGTTATTGATATGAATGAAAACAAAGATATGGAAAATAAATTATATAGAAATAATGACATATATACAAGTAATAATTTTAAAATTAATTATACAAACATAGAAATTGATAATATTATGAATCAAAATCAACAAGAACAATGTAACAATCTGTTAACAAAACTTGAAAAAAAACAATTAAAAACAGAAAAAGAAAAAAATGCAAAATTGATATCAAAAAAAGATATCATAGCAGAAAAAAGAGAGAAAGCAGCTTTGATATCTAATGAGCGATTATTAAATGATGAAGATTTTAAAAAAATAGATACGGCATTAGCAAAACAACAAATAACATATGCTAGTTTAAAAAGATTTCATTCTAGTGAAAGAGAACATGGAGATTTTGTTAAATTGACCGATATAGAAAATATTTATAAAAAACAAAAACATGATAAACAAACTCGGATTGAATCTGTGAAGGTTAGTTTTAAAAATCTCGAAAAAAAACAGAAAAATTTCGATATTTTATTCTATTATATAAGATTTTGAATCTCATTTTGACATTGACAACGTTCGATTTTGTATAGATTTAATAGTAATTAGACACAATTAGTATTATTTATATATATATTTCATTAAAAGTCAACCGCTAATTTAAAATTAGATTATTGTTTATGTTTTTGTTTCAAATTTGAATTTCAAGATTGTGAAATTATAAAATTATAAAGATTATATATAAGATTATAAAATTATAAGAATATTGAGATTCTATTGAAATCCCAGTCGAATTTTTACAATTTATCTCAAACTTCACGATTTAAGTTATGAAACAATCTTATTTTTAATTTGTTTTAATTTTATTATAAACTATAAACAAAAATTAATTCATATTTTTTATTAATTATTTTTTATTAATTAAGTATTTTTTATTAATTATTATTACTAATATTAGGTGAGAGATTGCAGAAAAACTTTTTGATTTCGATAATTTTTAAATATATAGATGACAAGATTTTGAACAACTTTTTCTTATAAATACAGTCAATTTAGTTTACGAGATATTTGTAAGTTGATCTTTTAAAAAAGATTTTTTAAATTATTTTTATAAATAATTAAAAGAAATTATAAATAATTAGAACTTACAAATAAATAGAATTTATTTATTTATCATTTATATATATATATTTATTATCATTTATTTATCATTTATATATATATATATATATATATATTTATTAATAACAGTGTATACCTAAGTATGTCACTACTTATTTTTCATTAATATAAATATATGATGATAACAGACAATAAATACTTGTAAAATAAACAGATCAAAAAGTTATTTTCTCATAAATTATGATGAATTTGAAATATTAATTACTAACTTTGAGTATTCCACGAATTCTTTGAATCCGTGAAATACGAAAAAAAAATATAAAAAATTTTTAGGTAATCGAAATTACAATAATTGAAATAAATAACTAAAAATAGGGATGTGAAACAGATAGAAATGATTCTATAATAATGAGTTAGATTTAGATTAGAATTTAAAAATAATTTTTGTGAGATAATCATCAATATTTGCGATTTTTTATGAAAATAATTGAAGGTTTTATACAAGATACTGTAGATATTGAAATCGATTATTAAAAACTCAATGTGAGTATGACAATTATATTTATGTTTATATAATAATATAACAATATATATATATATATAATTCAATGTAATAATACTGAAAGTTTTTTAATATCTTAAAAATTAATAGATACCCAAAGTTAAAATTTTATATTTGAGGTTTATCCTCCCTTTTTTACAATCTTTCAAAATCTTATGTTGATTAATCACTAAGATTTTTGGATCGTTATCCAAATTTTTATTTCAGAAATTTTATTGAATTGATATTATTTATTAATTTTTTTTTTTCATTTTAATCAGGAAAAAATGGGTTTTCTAAATATATTTTTTTTCAAATTACAAAATTTTTTTAATTTTGAAATATATATAAATAAATTTTTATTTTTTAATTTTTAATTTGAATTTGTTTTTAAAAAATCGAAAAAATTATTACTATATTCTTTAAAGTTTTTTTATGAAATGGTTAAGTCTCGTTTTCGTATTATTTCAATTAATGAAGTAATAAATTGGAAAAGACAACGATACGATTATTTTTAAATAAATTGTGCGTTATCCTCTTGATTGGTTGTATTATTATTTTTCTATATCTATTATTTTCATTTGTCACTTATATTTATAATTAAATTTTCTATTCTATTTTATGCAAATTTAGAAAAAAATTATATTTAAACAATTTTTTATACAATGTAAATACTATTTAAAATTGTCATTACAAATTGAATTTATATAATTTAAAATATCCTATGAATTTTTTAAATAATATTATTACAAATTATAATAATATTTTAAAGTTGTGTAGCTATTTCTTCTTATTTAGAAAATCATTTTTGGCTCGAATAGCAATATTTATAAGGAATTTTATAAAGAATTTTTTCGGTAATATTTATATAATAAACATTATTTGTAAATTTTTAATCCACCAATTAAATTTGTTATTATTTTATGATTGCATCTTTTTGTGACGAGTTCTTATTAGAATTAAAAGAATTTTGCAGATGTATAATAATATTGTTAAAATAAAAAATTTATATTTAAAAAAGGAATTATATTAAAATAAAGAAATCTTTTGATAATGAAAAATTTAATTACTATCAATTTTTCTAAAAATTATAGTATTAATTATAGAAAGATAAAATATAAAGTCATCATATTAGAATAACAAAAATAATTATTCATTTTTCTGTAACATAAATAATGACAACAATAAAAATTAAGTTAATTATAATTTTATATTTTTGAAAATTTATATCACGATATAGCTATTATTTGTTTATTTTAAAAATTTTTTTAAACATTGAAGATGTTTTGCTTCTCAGAATTGACATTAAACAGATAATATAAAATTTTTCTAATTGCATAGTATAAAAATAGAAATAATTTCATAAATTTATTTCATCATATTAATGATTTTGTTATTAATAATTGCATACTATAAAGATAATGATGAAATTGGAGGTGAAAAAGATTTGCACACAACCTTATAAAAGTTATTGAATAATCAAATACTTATACAAAAATTATCCGAAACATAAATTATATAAATGTATCATTTACAAATATCACTTTTCATTACGTAAAAAAGAACGTTAAATTTAAATTTAAATTTAAGATTAAAACATATTACTTATTAATGTTTTATAGTAACTTTAATTGTTTTATAATATTGTATCAATCTAATATTAGAAATTTCCATAATTTTTTTATCATAAAAAAGAATTTTATGCAAAATTTATTTATTCAATGAAAAAGTATAGTATTGTTTTTTGATACAATGCAATGATTTCGATTTTTTTTATATATGTGTAGCTTTTAATCTCATTATTTGAAGTTATTTATTATTTTTTTTTTTTTTTGATATTTTTTTATTTTCTTCTTGAATGTATAGAAATAACTTATCATATTTTTGTATTTTTTATTATTTAGTTATATTTTTTAAAATAAATAATATTCATAAAAAGAATCATGCTACAAATTTGATTAGATATAACAAAATATATCTATTAGTTAAGAATGTTAGAATGTTAAGAGTTCATAAAGTTTTAAAAATATAAATGACATTATTGATGATAATATAACCATTTTTTAGAGTTTACTTAAAATAATATATAGATATAGAATAATAACAAATGTTCTTTATATATTTTTCAATTTCAATTTTTTTGAAAATTAAGATCTAAATATTAAAATTTTATTTTACATTTTTTACTTATTCGCATATATAGAATAATGTATTATTAATAATTTACTTGTTTAATTGAAAATTATCCAAATTTATTTGTTCTTGAAAATTTTTCAGATTTGATTTATTCGAAAATAAAATTTAAACAAGAAAATTTTCAATTTTTTTTTCGATTCATTTTTATATATAAAATTATCATTTTCCTATATCTTTTGTTCTAAAACACTTTTATTTTTTTGTTT